AATCAATAAACTCTATTGTTTAAAAGTGTCCCATTCTGATGTCTAACTCATTACGACGCAAATATGCGATTATATCATACAAATCGAAATCGTTCGTTAAGCAACAATTCCTTGCAAAACATCGTCAAAATACCATACAAGGAAATTGACGTTATCCTTAGTATGCATTGGCTGACTGAACATTGTAGCTGTTGATAATTTGTAATTAAGAATTCTTCAACTGAAGATCAATGATGGTTACCTCATAGAGGTGAAAGCAAAGCTGATTTCTAGATTGACCGAGTTCATCTCGAATATACACGCAAAAACGTCTCAACCGTAAGAAACGTGAAGTCTATTCATACGATACGCGAACAGAAACATCTGAGATGAAAGAACGTAATGAAAGTACATCACTGCTCTAATATAAAATTTCTAATATTTCACCATTCCGAGAAATTTAAGTCTCTGTCAATATTGATCCTAGAAAGGACCAATATTTGTTACTCCGTATTGAATTTGTTTCCATCGAAACTGAAAACTAAACTATAAAGATTACCTGACAAAGAATCGTCTGATTATGTGGATTTTCGACGCTTTAGATATGCTTACTCAGCTTTACCGCTGAGCGTGTAGTATGTTTTATTTGCTACACGCAGGTTAATAGAAAGAATGATGTGACGTAATCCTGGAGGCAGACGGAGGCGAGATTGTCGGAATGGATGTGATGGTTTTAATTATGTTTGTGATTATGATTTGTTAAGCTTCCGCAATATTGTTGAATACTTCGTACTGTATATGTTATAAAAAAATATTATTGTGATAAATAAAAGTGTTTGAAAAGTTTTTAAATTTTACGATTTCCAAGTTAATACTTTATTCTGAAAGGGGCTGCACACCTGGACAGATTAGGGTGTTACATTTTGGTATCGGGGCAAATGGTTTTAAACCCGATCTTCGGATCGAATTTGATTTTTTTTAAAAAAAAATGTCAATCACATCCACGACTCTCGCATCCCTCTGCTCCAGGAAAGGTATGAGAATTTACTAGGTAAATATTGACTTGTTAAAATTCTCATTAGAGAATAATTGTTAGTACTGAAATTATATTGAGCATAGACTCAACATCTAAAAAGCATGAGCCACTTCTCTGCTTTCTTAATTTTTTTAATACTGAGGGACTATGCAACAGTTGTATGAATAGCGTAGCGCTTACTGCTTTGACTAGCCAGAGCATTTCAGCGAATCTTCAATCTGCTGATACTTCTTTGTTAATTACAACTTATTGTAGACACTTCGACAACAGTTTCATCATCATGTGGACCGAAGACGATAGGATTGCTGATTCAAACACGAACGTTTAGAATCAATAAACTCTATTGTTTAAAAGTGTCCCATTCTGATGTCTAACTCATTACGACGCAAATATGCGATTATATCATACAAATCGAAATCGTTCGTTAAGCAACAATTCCTTGCAAAACATCGTCAAAATACCATATAAGGAAATTGACGTTATCCTTAGTATGCATTGGCTGACTGAACATTGTAGCTGTTGACAATTTGTAATGAAGAATTCTTCAACTAAAGATCAATGATGGTTACCTCATAGAGGTGAAAGCAAAGCTGATTTCTAGATTGACCGAGTTCATCTCGAATATACACGCAAAAACGTCTCAACTGTAAGAAACGTGAAGTCTATTCATACGATACGCGAACAGAAACATCTGAGATGAAAGAACGTAATGAAAGTACATCACTGCTCTAATATAAAATTTCTAATATTTCACCGTTCCGAGAAATTGAATTCTCTGTCAATCTTGATCCTAGAAAGGACCAATATTTGTAACTCCGTATTGAATTTGTTTCCATCGAAACTTAAAACTAAACTATAAAGATTACCTGACAAAGAATCGTGTGATCAAGTGATTCCTCCTTAAGAGAATACCTGTTTTGTTCATACGCGAATAAAGAAGAATCTATGAGACTCTGTATCAACTATTGTCAATGAACGATTCGTTATCCTTTAACTCGTATCGATGACTTATTTGATCAGCTTAGAGGATCCATTGTATTCTCTAAGATTGACTTATGGTCAAGATATTATCACATCCCTGTTAAGAAACTTGGACAAACTAACAATCAAGAATTGCTATCCTTTACTATGAACTGGCGACTTATTCGGTCGAATTCAAATAACCTGCTTGTTAGAAGCTATAGACCGCTCAACCTTGTTGAATGAACTGATGCTTTGTTATGAAGCGATTAATGACCTAATTGCTTATCATCGTAATGTTTGTGGACGATATGATTTCAACATAAATTCAACTTGGATTACAAAGGAAATGTTAGAGATGCAATTCTAAGTCTAATCTTCCAGGATTTACAAAGTTGTCATAACTAGCTCTAGGATCCGGGAAGGCTTTAGCAAACTCTAGTTTGTCTAAAAGCTCGTCAACAAAGAAAGAAGAAATAAAAAGTTTCATGTGACTGGAAGCCATGAAGTTTTGCCTCACCGCATCGTCTAGAAATTTGAGTAGGTTATTGAAATAACCGTCAATGTTCAAAAGACCAATGGGTCTATTGTGTAACCCTTCACAAGCCCACGAGATCAAGGTGAACAAACCTTCCATAGTGTCAACTCCTCTGGGAAGAATGATGAAAGCTTCCATGGCATGATTCATCTCGAAATACTTGTAATAGTTGTTGGAAACTGTATGCTCTACACCGTACATAGGTCCATAGACACCTCGTGTTGCTACGTACCCAGGAATAAAACCTCTAACGAGACCACCATTGGTAAAGACTGTTGAAGCAACAGCTTCTTGAAGGCCAACACTACCTCCTCCATAGGCAAGTTTAATCTTTCGCCTTATCAATTCTCTTCCTAAATCTACCGCAGTAACCATAAACTTTGGATTTCTACCAAGAGAATGACTGCCAAGTAGACCGACAAATCTTATGGTGTAAGGAAGTGTTCGAGAAGTTCCTTTCATAATGTGAGAATGTGAGATACTCTTATCATAATCGTGATATATATAGTCTCTAAAAACTGGCTCTTGATGGAAAGGTTATTATCGTCAACCGAAATACGTACATATAAGTGGATTCGCTTCAATACTATAGTCTGCTGACGATATGACGTATTGAGACTCTTGAACAGTTAGATTCGTTGTCCTAAAACACGTTCAAATCCGAGACGAAAAGTGAAAACGGCTATTTCCTACGACAACGACCTTTTTGAGTGACTTCCAAAGAGTGAAACATTGAAGAATGAAAACCTACAATTAGTAACGATAATTCGCAAATGCTATCTTGTATCTTTTGACTCATACCCTTGAAATACTCAAACTTGTTGTGTCAATTATATACTTGAAACATTCCACTTGATCCAACGATTGAATTCCATTGTTGTATCAAAATACTAAACCATTGAGAACTTGTCTTAACTCAACAAGATGCGCTATACTGATCTTTGAAAACTACACTCTGTGAACTACGCGACTCAGATCACAATGGTAAAGGCACTCTAAATGGAATATTATGTTGAACATCTCTTTGTGAACAGCAAAACAATTAATGCGATTAAGTTATCTCTGAAGATTATTATCGATGATCTTATTGACCAAACAAACACCGTTATAACCCTAGCAATGAAATGTGTGTGAAACAACCAGAGAAGAAATGATGTCACAAAGAACAAGCTGAATCATTCAAGCGAAAATCCTGAATCTATATGTGAGAACTCATACGATTCCTTACTCTTTGAATTCGTGAATTAAATCACATATCGAAGATATTCTCTTTTTCCCTCGAAAACGAGATCAGCCATAGTGCTATAACCGAATCTGTCGCTATCATATCTAGATATGTTTTAAAATTAATAGAAGAAGTTTGAATACGACAAGTCATACATGAGACGCTACTCGAACATCATCACCTATGAATACGAAGACGCATTAAATGATAAAAGTGAGCTACCGTGAAGTGAATGAAGAAATGTTTCGATGTAAATCGATGATAACGAGCTACTCTACAACCGATTGACAAGTACTTACTCATAAATGATGACAAATTCCCTATCCTGAATCAAGGAAAGCCATTTGATGTTACTTACGAGTCATTGCTGAACTATGTAAACATTGTGAAGATGTCTTGAGTGACTTGAAAGATTACGCTACGATGTATGGATTGAAAACAAACTCTAAATTCCCAACTATACCTATCGTGAATGGGATGACTTGAAACTGCAAATGCTATCGAAAGACTTTCAATCAAAGGAGGAATACCGATAATCGACGTTGTGCAATTGGGAATTGTGTTATGTCCAGTATGTCAAGTTTACAACCCTATACACGGGAACTTTAGTTGTTGATACTGAAAGATCACTGAATGCCTTACTCAATCAAAGATTGATAACCTCTTAAAGAAAGAAAGAGTTTGATAACATTGGGAGTACGTATCCGTGTGGAGAATGACGTAATTATGGTTTAACCAATTGAGCATGACGCGGTCATGATTAAGTGAGATCACTATGAAATGTTGAACGTTGGACCTTAGAAGAATTTCGAAGACGAAATTTCTTTAAGGGGGGGAGAAATGTAACGCCCCAAAATATACCCTAAAATTTATTGAATTAAATATTCAATTAAACAAATTTGTTTTGATTAAAATAAATTATTATTGGGCTTTGGGCTCGATATGAAATATGTTCTAAAGTCCAATATCACAATCTGGATAAATCTCAAAGAGATAAATTCTATATGTTGACTTATTATGTGATCTTGATTAGGAACCTGAGTACATACCCAGATCAAGAATAAATTAAGAAATTGACTTGTGATGTGAACTCTGAAATTATTTATTCAAATAAATGATGAGAGTAAATAACATGAATGAAATGAGAGAACCTTTTTTAATAAAGGTCAACTAAATCAAATTTGACTCTGTCAAAGTCAAACACCCAAAAATATGATGTCGGAAAAAGTATTACAAATAATCATGAAAATTATGTCATTGGATAAAGCTTAACTGTTTAATCGCAACGGTGCAAACGGATTTCAATTCGGAGAAAGTTGGACCAAAAAGTATATCCCGACTGGAACCAAAATTGGTCTCAATCAGGGAGTGGCATACGAATGAAGGAACACAAACAGCAACCCACATTGTCATGTTCTCTAGTTTCTGCACTATATAAAGCATCCCTCTACTCCTTCATTTCTCCACCAATTCATGAAATTTTTCTTCCTAATATGTTCCTCTGAGTGTGGAGATTTCCATGATGCTGTCAATTTGGTGAGAAGTCGCCGGAGCAAGCCGTGGTGTTCGCCGGAAGTTTCGCCGTTAAATCACTGGAATCATCATTTAACTTCGAAGTAACCCCGTAGATATATCTAAAGACTAGAATGTTCATGTAGGTTGTTTTTACGTTCATAAATAGTCGTTTGGTTGAGTTTTGTGTTTGACATGTTTGATGAACCAAGAATCATAAACCTTGAATTTGATGTTAAAAATATGTTTTAATGATTCTAAAATGATCTATGAACCTGTGAAAAAATTTCTATATAATTTAATTGAAGTTTGGTGATTAAAAATGATAATACTCGAAACTTACCAGAGGAAGAAGATGATGAACAGTAGCCGAAAATCGATTATTTACTTCCTAAAAATCGGTTAGTATGTAATCGATTATTTAAAATATAAAAATCGATTTAAAAAGTATTAATCGATTATTTTGAAACTAAAAATCGATTTTTAGCATTTATCTGATTATTTAAAATTTAAAAATCGATTTTTAGCATTTAATTGATTATTTAAAATATAAAAATCGATTTTTAGCAATTAATTGATTATTTAAAATATAAAAATTGATTTTTATCATTTAATTGATTATTTAAAATATAAAAATCAACTTTTAGCAATTAATTGATTATTTAAAATATGAAAATCAATTTTTAGCTATTAATGGATTATTTTAAATATAAAAACCTATTTTTAGGTATTAATTGATTATTTTAAAAAAATAAAAATCAATTTTCCTCAAGTACATATCATGTTCTAAAAATATTATTGAAAATATGCTCTAAAATCCTATTTCGTTACCAATTAATTATAAACCATATAAATATGATTTTGTACAATAAAAATGATGTTTGTGACTTATAAACATTATGTGATGCATGACGGTAAGTTCGGGTGTTAACACTCGAGACTAGGCCGCTATTTGTTATTATGCAGTATGACAATTGTTTGATTATTGATTATAATGAATTAATGATGATGAACGTTTTGAATGATGATCATGAATTGTTAAAGTGAAAATAATGAATTAATGAATCGTATTGTTAAGGCTACTTAGAAGACTTCTAAGACAGACCTCTGATTAGAATAGGCCTTGCGAGTACAATATGTATATTCGGTGGCCTTGGGTAAAAACGTACGTACGGGATCCATAAACCAAACTAGAGGAACTCGTTTGGGGATACCACCCGACCCGACAGTTAGTATTCTACTCTTCGGTTTTCTGGATTTGTACCTTAAGCGAAGGCTAGTTTAAGAGTTGGTAAATCAATCGGAAATCTGTACCTTAAACTAAGGACCTAGCTTAAGAGTTGGTTAGAAGTACCTTAAACTAGAATTAGTTTAAGAGTTGATTATAAGTACCTTAAACTAGAATTAGTTTAAGAATTGGTTAGAAGTACCTTAAACTCGAATATAGTTTAACTATCTTAAACTAGAATTCGTTTAAGAGATGGTAAACAGCAAATAAATTGGCCTTACACTAAAGTAGTTTAAGGACATTGTTGAATATGAATGTTGAATATTAAATGTTGAATGTTGAATATTGAATGATGGATATTAAATATTTAAACTGAATATTATGTGCATGATATCAAATGGTTGATTATGAATTGAGATTCAATTTATGTGGATGTTCGACGCTTTAGATATGCTTACTCAGCTTTAGCGCTGAGCGTGTAGTATGTTTTATTTGCTACACGCAGGTTAATAGAAAGAATGATGTGACGTAATCCTGGAGGCAGACGGAGGCGAGATTGTCGGAATAGATGTGATGGTTTTAATTATGTTTGTGATTATGATTTGTTAAGCTTCCGCAATATTGTTGAATACTCCGTACTGTATATGTTATAAAAAAATATTATTGTGATAAATAAAAGTGTTTGAAAAGTTTTAAAATTTTACGATTTCCAAGTTAATACTTTAGTCTGAAAGGGGCTGCAGACCTGGACAGATTAGGGTGTTACATTTTGGTATCGAAGCAAATGGTTTTAAACCCGATCTTCGGATCGAATTTGTTTTTTTTTAAAATGTCAATCACATCCATGACTCTCGCATCCCTCTGCTCCAGGAAAGATATGAGAATTTACTAGGTAAATATTGACTAGTTAAAATTCTCATTAGAGAATAATTGTTAGTACTGAAATTATATCGAGCATAGACTCAAGTAGATTTTTCGTACTCGGTGAAGAGACGAAAGAATTAAAAAAATTATGACTCCCTGATACGTTGTCAACATACTTATCGCATCGCGAATGACGAAACTGATCGGTCTCGTAAAGTCGCTTAGAAGTTAGACGACTATGAAGAAACAATTAATGTTGAATAACATCTGTGAAGCTGTTGTCAAAGATCATCATGTGGACTGAAGACGATAGGATCGCTGATTCAAACACGAACGTTTAGAATCAATAAACTCTATTGTTTAAAAGTGTCCCATTCTGATGTCTAACTCATTACGACGCAAATATGCGATTATATCATACAAATCGAAATCGTTCGTTAAGCAACAATTCCTTGCAAAACATCGTCAAAATACCATACAAGGAAATTGACGTTATCCTTAGTATGCATTGGCTGACTGAACATTGTAGCTGTTGATAATTTGTAATTAAGAATTCTTCAACTGAAGATCAATGATGGTTACCTCATAGAGGTGAAAGCAAAGCTGATTTCTAGAT